GATATCTAATTTTAATCAAACATTGGTCTAATATGATGCAGGTTGTTATTTAAATTTCTTATGTCTGTTGAAACTTTCTTTATATTTGAGTATGTGGTCAAATTTGGATATGCTAGAATTAAGGTTAATTCTCTTGTGTTTGGTTGAAATGTTCTATAATTAACTGTTAGGATCATTTATTTTATAACATTAGTTAATTCTAACATTTCTCTGTCTAGGTTTGTGTGGGACACCTGCCTATTGGTGAAAGTGGGATATTGAAGTCTCCATTCTCAGTATGTTAGGGCCAATGTGTGATTTATGTTTTAGTAGTGTTTCTTTTACATAGGTGGTTGCCCTTGTTTTAGGGGCATAGATGTTGGAATTGAAATGTCATCTTGGTGGATTTTTTCTTTGATCAGTATGCAGTGTCCTTTTCTCTCTTGATTTATTTTGGCTTGAAGGCTATTTTTTAGATATTAAAATGGTTACACTAACTTCCAACCTCCTTGGTGTTCTGTTTGCTTCTTGAGCATTTACAGGCTTGTCCATCTTTAGGTTAGGAAATTTTTCTTTTATTATTTTATTAAAATATTTCTGTGACTTTAAGCTGGTATTCTTCTCCTCCCTTTATTCCAGTTATTCTTATATTTGGTCTTTTCATAGTGTCCCAGAGTTCCTGCAAGTTGTAAGATTAACATTTTTTAAGATTAACATTTTCATTGACCAATGTACCCATTTCTTCTATTGTACTTTCAATTCCAGAGATTCTCTCTTCTATCTCTTTTATTCTGTCAGTGAAGTTTGCCTCTGTAGTTCCTGTTTGCATTCTTAGATTTTTCATTTCCAGGATTCCTTCAGGTTTTTAATTTTTTTCAATTGCTTCTATTTATATTCTGGAACAGTTTTGTCTGTTTCTTTCAATAGTTTTGTTAGTTAGATTTTCTATTTTGGATCCCTTTAAGGGATTTATTCATTTTTTTCCCATTGTTTGCTAGTGCTTTCCTGGCTTTCTTTCAGGGATTTCATCATTTCCTCCAATTGCTTTGTTTTCCTAGCTTTCTTTGAGGGATTCATTCATTTCATCTTTAAGAATCTTTGTCAACTTCATAGAGTTGTTTTAAAGGTATTTTCTTGTGTTTCAACTATGTGGGAATATTCACAACCTACTCTGGTAAGATAGCTGGGCTCTGATGGTGACCTAGTGCCATGGCTCTTATTGATTCTGTTCTTATGTTGGACCCTAGGCATCCGTGTTTGGGGAGATTGTATGTCTAAGTGCTGGGTTTGTCTTGGTCAGTGGGAATTTTGTTCCTTGTTTTCTGTTTCCTTTCTGAGTTTTCAGAGATTGTGTTGGCTGAATGTTGACTATTGTGTTGGCCTGTTGATCTCATGTGTTCATTGGGGTGGAAGGTACAGAATTGGGGATGCTTTTTGTCGCTTAAGGCTAGGAAAAGGAAGGACAGTGACAATGGTCTGTGGCATACACAGTGCGCATCCACCAGGTGGAGTGAAAACTGCAGCTTGTGTTCTCTTGAAGTGCTAATTTACTTTAAGAATTGGGTGTGGAGTGACAGAGAGTAGAGAAGGTCCATGGGCACCCTACCTAGTCCTCTGGCAGGCATTGTCTGACATTGACCAGTGAAATCACATACCAATCTTTACATACATAATAACTGAACAAACACATAAAAGTGTTTAATTAATAATTTACAAAACAAAACAAACAAAAAACCCAACCTTTTCTACTGAATGACCTCTGCCCTGTTCCTCAGTTTTTTGAATATTCTTTCAAAATAAAAATTATACAGATTTAAGGATTACCACTTGATATTTTGGTCTACAGAAGCATTTTTAAATGGTTGATATATTCAAGTTAATTAAATATTAAGTCACATAGTCATGGCCTTTGTTGGTATTAAGAACTTAAGATCAAACCTCTTAGATACAAACATACAGGTCAGCTTTCAAATGTGTGGTCACAATCTTTCATCAGATCACTGCAACACACACTGCCATAAAGTACTCATTCTCCATGGTTACTGAATGCTCTTCTATAGTGGAGAGAAAGAAACAATACACAGATTTGCTGCATTTTATTTTGTTCTAGTTTCAATGAAATAATGGGTATTACCTTTTAATATAGTATCTGCATTAAGATTAAGTTGGTTTGTTTCACAAAAAAATAGATATAATGAATATAGAGTTAACATTAGTGACACAATGAAAAAAGGACAAAATAAAGTAAATGAATATAGTTTATAGATTAAAAGGAGGAATTAAAGTGGTGAATAACTGATATGAAATTCATAAGGTTAAATAACTTAATAATTTTTAATAGATAAATGCTGACCAACAGCAAGCCAGAGCACGCCAAAGCAGCAAGTCGAGAGAGCTCTCATCCTCCTTGTCTGTCCCTTTAAAACCTTTCCCATGTCACCCTGACATCACCTTGACCACCTTGACTTGATGCGTGTGGTTGGGCACACCTGTAGCCATTCCTTAGGAGGCCTGGTTATGGTGTCTCCCTACAAGGAATGTGTGTCTTTTGTCTTTTAATTAATTTTTATTTAAATAAAAACAATCTTATTTTACATGCCAATCTCACTTCCCTCTCTCTCCTGTTCTTCCATGTCCCCCATTAACCCTCTATCCACTCCTCAGGGAGAGCAAGTCCTCCCATGGGTGATCATCAAAGGCTGTCATACATTTTCGGCAAGGCCTAGGCCCTCCTCTGTGTATCTAGACTGAGAGAGTGTCCCTCCGTAGGGAATGTACTTCCAAAGCCCATTCATGCGCTAGGGATAAATACTGGTTCCACTGCCAAAGACCCCATAGAGTGTCCCTCCCTCAACTGACATCCACATCAGGGGGGCCTGATTCAGTCCTATGCTCGTTTCCCAGACTGGGGTAGGTGAGCTCCCACTTGCTCAGGTCAGCTGTTTCTGTGAGTTTCCCCACATGGTCTTGATCCCTTTGCTCATCACTCCTCCCTCTTTACAACTGGATTCCTGGAGTTCTTGTCAGTGTTTAGCTGTGAATTTATTGTTGTTTGAGACAGGATTTTACTGTGCATATTGGGATGGCCTGGATGTTACTATAGTTAACCTAGGATAACCTCCAACTCAGGGAAATGCTCTTGCTTCTGCCTCATAAATGTTGAGGCATAGTCTACCATACTTTGCTGATTTTATTTATGTATGTTAATCCAGATTTTCTGAGTTGGATTTAAAATTCCAAATAGAAAATGCTGGCTTAAAAGATATACCTACACACACACACACACACACACACACACACACACACACACACCACGGGGTAGCACTTAGTGATTGTGAGTCTTGGTTTAAGCCAGTAGTTGTTGAGTGTTGGACTCTCTTCACATTGTTTGTATAAATTTACTTGATGATAATGATTATACTATCCCATTTTGTCACTGGTAGGCTAAAAGTGATGGGAGATTTTGATGAGGTAGAGAGTAGAGGAGTAAAGAAAATGCTGGAATGAACAACTTTTCAATTACTGAGATGGCTTTCTCACTTCATTTAGTGATGAGCTGCCTGGAGATAGAAGTGAAAAGATGATGAAGCACAAGGATGCTGTTTGAGCATTTCCACGGGGTGGAAAGAGCTATGAACGTATCAGATCACAACTTTTGTTCTTATATCCACAGTATCTTTTGTAATGTAGAGCTTAATGGATGTTTATTTTCAAATATAGTCATGAAAAAAATGTTAGACAATATGTATATGAATATTCTTACCTGAGTATATTTTAGAAGGTTTCATTTACTGGGTGACACTTTAGGTTGTTTTAAAGGAACAAGTTATCAATAAGCATGCTCAGTTTGAATTTATTGTATGCCAACACCTTCCATATTTCACTGAATATTTTTTAATTGCTTGTGAAAAAGCAACTAATTCTAAAAATATTACATTGTATAATATATTATCATAAATGACAGGAGATATTAGGTTCATTTTATTTCTTGGAACTGGAAATATGTTGATTTTCTACCTCTTTAGAATATTTTATGGTAAAAATAGCTTAGGGTGAGTATACTACTACTCCTGCTCCAGAAGTCCTCTGTTATTTTTCTTATTCCATAGTCAAATGATTTAAAATTACACAACACAAATAGCGACAGGTTGAAAAGCTTACAGAGGAAATGACCACCTGCATATTCTATTTAGGGACACCTACTTACACAAAATCTCACAAATTGTTTATCAATCATATCTTTTTTGAACTGATGGCCTGTGTGGTAAAATCTTGGCTCATCTGAATTTGTAAGCACATTTAAAATTGTTTTTGCAAATAGCATGTTGTAAAATTAATGATAATTTTCATTCGATTCCCCACTGATCCATCTGCTTGAGGCCAGCAGCAAAGCAGGACTTCATGCTCCATCCTAGACTTAGCAAGTAATGTGTAAGTTTTAATACACCCTTTGGGGATTTTGGACACCAAATTTTTTCACTAACATATAGGATATGTAAACAAAGTAGAAGTCATAATCCTAACCTTCCCCTGAGTGTAGGAATTGTTTAGTACATTCTCAAGTATAGTGAAAAGGTTGTGTATTAGAATTTTAGAAGAGAAAAATAATATCAGTCTTACATGTTTTGAAACTGTACTTACAATTGTCTATTTATACTTCTACAAGTTTTTGAGTTATGGTTCTTTTTTAATAAAACAAATAATTTTTTTCAAAAAATTGAATTTGTCTGCCTCTATTATATTTGGTTCTCCTAATTTTTTGACAGTTTGTGAATATTATTTTGGTTTTCTTAGAATTATGAAAATCATGCTGCTTTGTTCCCTGCAGGCGTTAAAATAAAATATTGGTAATTATGCATATTTAACATTTAAAAGACCAAGTGATTACTCACAGCACTTATAAAAATGAAAATTATTTCAGATATTCATAAATCACCTCCTTTGTGAAGGAGCTTGAAGTCCTTGAAGCAGGACAAAATATGAATTTATTACCATTATCATTCTGCTTTGTATTTTCTCAGATGCAAGACGAAAGTTTACCCTGATGAACTTCCAAACACAAGTGTAGTCATTGTATTCCATAACGAAGCTTGGAGCACTCTACTTAGAACTGTCTATAGCGTCATAAATCGCTCTCCACACTACCTGCTCTCTGAGGTCATCTTGGTCGATGATGCCAGTGAAAGAGGTATAGACTATGCTTTCCCCCTGTAATTTGGAACCAATATTATGGTCTGAAGGTAGCTGGGCAATAATCTACATTCTTTATAATGAACCACCTACAAAATTGATACATACTGCATAGTCATATATGCATTTCAGATATAGTATGCATTGTTGATGCACATTTAACTCTGAGAACAATTAAATACTTTCAGTCTATTTTTATATCCTATTTTTCACTAACTATACTCAGAAATCAGCCAAAATGATTTTTTAAGATGCTTTATTTTTCCCAACTAGTTAATACTGAGAATTTATATGACTTGATATGCAGTATCAATTAACTGATGAGATCTTTATTAGTTTATTGCACTTTAAATTCTGTATATGAGATCATAATTACATATGCATATGACATCTGCATGTATGAGCTCAATACTGACCCTCAAGGTTGAATTTCCTTCCTAGGAGTGGTGCCATCCTGTTCTAAAACAGCTCCAAATCTTCCTCATCCATTCTTGTTCCATGTTACAGATTTTCTCAAGTTGACATTAGAGAACTACGTGAAAACTTTAGAAGTGCCAGTAAAAATTATCAGGATGGAAGAGCGCTCTGGGTTAATACGTGCCCGTCTCCGAGGAGCAGCTGCTTCAAAAGGACAGGTCATAACTTTTCTGGATGCACACTGTGAGTGCACCTTAGGATGGCTGGAGCCCTTGCTGGCGAGAATAAAGGAAGACAGGTAGGGAGCCTTGTGTTAAGTCTGCAAGGCTTACACCTGGACCTTTGAGGGCAACTCCAGCTGTCCATCACAATGCCTTGTCCAAGGTTCTATTTTCAGAAGGTTTATTTCATTTGCTTTGAAAAGGCAGCTTTTCTCTTTTTTAAGATGAAAATTGGACTGAATCATGTTCACGATAGGTAGTTGATTATGAAATAATTAAATGATTCAATGAAAAATGTTTTGAGCGTTTATAGCTGAAATAAATCAACCCAGTCTGATAGCATATGTTGCAGGCAATTTTCAAAGCACCTTTGGTACTCCCAATTCCCCCGTGCAGGGATTGCAGATGTTCTTACTTACTTGCTTATGTTATTGGAAGTACAGTGAATACTTTGGTTCTTCTCACTCTCTCAGCAGTGTTCTCTTCACTCCTCCAGTGCCCTCAGTCACATTCTATTTTAACTTCAAGTCAAAGATATTGAAAACACACACACACACACACACACACACACACACAGAGAGAGAGAGAGAGAGAGAGAGAGAGAGAGAGAGAGAGATACTGCTTCCTAAAATAATATCGTTGTTCAAAAAATGAGTAGAGTACATTATAATTATTTAAACACTATTATTCCCACCTGTCAATTTGAAAATTTGAAAAATTAAACTTTTTAGAATCAAAGACCCTTCATGCATGCCTGTAGTTCTTCCTAATGATGATGACATTTTGTAGCTATTTATAAACATGGGTGATAAATTAGTGTAATTTTTAGTACCTAGTGAAGATAACAAACACAGAATGCTATCTATTATGATAAATCATTGCAGAACACCTTGCATAGCCATTCCATGTGCAGTAGAAGAGCTCAAAATTGAAAGTTTTGATTGGATGCTCCAGCAACGGCTACTTAGTGTAAGCTATTTCAGCCACATCACATAAACAGTAGAAGCTGATGATTTCCATGAAGATAGATGGATGCTGTCAGTGAAATGAACCAGAGCAGTTCAAGAAGGAAGTGGGAACCTCTTGGTCAACTGAATACCATACACAGCTAGTAACAATTCCTGTGTTGTACTCTGCCCACTGAGTGAGACTGACAAAGCAAAATTAACTTAGAATGCTGTCAATATATTTTCTGGCAACATTTTGTACATTATACTTTTCCTTTGAACATGCATTTTATATTCAACTTAAAAAATTGTTAATATTTCATTACAGCTATCTATTTTTGTTCTAAAAATTCATTTGGATTATATTTGTCTATGAGGAATCTTTTTCCCTGGTTATACATTTTTACATTGCCATAATAAGACAGTAAAATATGCTTGAGATTATTAGATCTGATTTCTCCTCCTTAAATGTTAATTTATTAAATGCAGTAAAGAGAGAAATGCCATGATTTCATTATGTCCTGATTCACCATGAAACTATTCTGTGGGTAGATGAAACCTTTTAATTTCAGAGAATTTCAGACAATGGGCAATTGTGTGGCATATAAGACTTACATGACAATGAGTGATGATAATATTATGGCTACCAAATAATATATAATTGAAGTTCTGTTTGGCTTCCCACACTCATGGGTGACTTAGAATGCATATGATTACTCTGTCCTTTATAATTAGCTACAACCATTTCCACCTTGAGTAGACCTGAACATTTTCCTTGTAGAGATGATTGACTCTTGGTCCCATAATGAACCACTAAAATCACAAGAAGCCAAAGAATTAGAGAAGCCACTACAGGGATAAAACAATATACCCAATTAAATAACTAAATGAAATATTCTTAGACCAAACAGACTCACAAGAACCTGAAACATCTACAGAATAGAGTAGAACAAAAAGACAAGGATTTGTCTGAAATAAATAAACTGTCTTTATTTAACAAAACACGTGGATTAGATAAGGACAGAGTCTTAGTTCTCTAACAGCCTGCAGATACAGGTATCAAGGCCCTCGTGTCCTTCACAGAAACTCTTTACTGGTACCTATAAACCAAGGTTTTAATTGATGTTGCTTTTTTTTCTTAAAAGGAGTTTTCTCTGGGACAAGTTTCCCTGTACTCTTTAAACTGACTTAATCTATTTGAAATGCAAACCTCCAGATCTAATTTTCTCTCATCCATTTTCCATCTCTCTATGCTATTGCTTTTCAGTGGATTATAGCTAAAAGATGCATAATATCAGAGCAACTTGACTAATCGTGTTGTGGGTGGAAGTTTATGAGAAATAGACCATGTTCATCCTGCTGAGCTAATACTTAGAATACATTTTAAAGTCAGTTTGAAGGTCAATTAGAATATTTGATTAGATTTCACATCACAGCATTAAGGGAATGGTGAGGAAAAAGGTGAGAGAAAATGGATAAAATAAATTAAAGCATGGTGAAGTCATAAAAATAAGTGTTATCATTTCTTCTGTAATCAACTTGAAGAGGCTAATGTAAATTATCACTTATATAAGAATTGGCTTTCATTTTTCTACAGGAAAACAGTTGTTTGCCCTATCATTGATGTTATTAGCGATGATACCTTTGAATACATGGCTGGGTCAGACATGACTTATGGTGGTTTTAATTGGAAACTAAATTTCCGATGGTATCCTGTTCCTCAAAGAGAAATGGATAGGAGAAAAGGAGACAGAACATTACCTGTCAGGTATGTAGCTCATTATTTCCCAACTAGTCATATTATTATTATTCACTTAAACAAGGGACATTATAAATCTGTTTTCAATTTTAAAGAATCTTAGAAATATTTATTATTTATGTACATTTTTCCCCATTAAACAATAATATAAGAATAAGTGACAATACTGAATATAGTTAAAATTGACACTGGCAAACTTGTGTGTTGATATATATGCCAGGTATCTTTGGATTCCTTAAGGTTCTGATATACTATCAAGGAACTAACAGTTGATCATCTTAATCAATGTGCTTTGTTCAAATAAAGACAACAACTCTTGTCTTTTTGTTCTACACTAGTTTCTTATAGTAAAAGAATTATATATGTGTCTATAAATTAAAACTTCTACAAGAATTCTGAATGTCTTGATTTTTCAAGTAAATATAAATGGATGGATTACAATAGAAGTGTTCTCAAATGTGAAAGGACCAAAATGTTTTGATAAATATCCTAAATTTAACATTCTCAAAAGCTGTCTTCCAGCCTGGCAATGTTCAATACTCAGGAGACAAAGGCAGGAAGGTCTCTGTGAGTTCAAGTCCAACCTAGTCTACAGAGCAAGTTTCCAGGACAGACTCCAAAGTGACAAGGAGAAAGCTTGTCTCAAAAAAAAAAAAAAAAGAAAAAAAAAAGAAAAGAAAAATATGTCATCCTTTACAATCACAGAAATAGTCCATAGAAAATTTTTGTGAATTAAATGCCTTTTTTGTTCAAAACTAAACAACTCCTTAATTTGAAATATTTATCAGTGAAATACAACTTACTCTTAATTTTGAAACAGATATCCATCATCACTTTCTACAAAATTACTCATTTAAATAACACTAAAATATCTCTGCCTGTTATGGTTCTCTTTCCTGCAACTAAAAATTGACTATCTAAAAAATACTTACAGAAGTATTGTACTAGATAATCTCTTTAAAAACGAATGTGGACAATCACTTTTCTCTTGAAAAAGTGTATAAATATTGTAATCTTCATAAACGGCATCCATATAAGTCCTAATCTATAGATGACCTGTATGTTAGGGTTGAGGATACTTCCTAATTATATAATGCATTAAACTAAAATAAAATCCTGAGTGGTAGAAGAGACAGCTCTAGTTATATGTTACTGAAAAGTTAAATAGTAAAGATGGTTAACATTTTTAGGAGATATACTACCACAGCAAGAATAAATTAAATGTGACCCCTGATATTTCATAAGGCCTGTCAGTGTTGAGAGTACATAATCTAGCAATTGTAATCTTCACATCTACTCATTGTTGTCCCTTGAGTTAACAGGCAGAGAAAATACAGTAAACCTTCATTTATTAGCAATTCGCTTTTCTCTGTTTTAGTTTTATTTAAATTTATTATCACAATTGGAATAGTAAAGATACAGTACCTAAACTCCTAGTAATAATTAACTGATCTCATTCATCAAAGAAAAAAAGTGATTTAAGAAGCAGCCATTATGCTCATCTTTAGCTAACTAAAATAAAAGGTGAGTCATCTAACACATATTTTAGCTACATGTTGTCTGATTTTGGTGAAACAATATGAGAACCAATCAGATAAACTTCTCTTACTTATTTTCCTTCCTGACTGAACATTATTTCATTTTCTAAAGTAATGAAAGAGGAATGGAGAAACCTCAGTGTCTGCTGTAGTTTGAAGAGTCCTATGGCAAAAGGTTAATTAATTCATAGGCACTGTTGTATCAGCAGGCTGGTAATTTTCATCAGCAGAGCTGTGGTGTGAACTTTGTGTTTCTAATCTATTACTCAGAGATGCTATCATTTTTCTCACATTCATGCAAACAGATAAATCATTCTGTGTATAAAGATAGATATCCTCCCACTTGATTAACAGAACTCCAGATTGCTAAAGTGATCAAAGTGAAGTTGAGGTTTTAGTTGTTTGTAGTAGAATGTTTAATTTAAAATACCGCGTATGACAGAACTTTGTAGTCACTATAATTGGCTAGGCATCATTCAGAAATACAAGTATGCAACTGCAACTATAAAGTGCAACTTAAATTTGTGACCTATACTCAGTCATGTTAAAAGCAATATGTATAGTGGCAATACTATATGATACCATATTATTTTGACTGCTTTATACTTTGGTTCTAGTATTCAGTTCTAAAAGGAAAGACGTACATAAAAGCTAGGTTGGGGTATTTAGTTTTCTTAGGTCAGTAAAGTTCTTTGATTTCATTTAACATTTCGGCTGTCTATAGAATGAAGCAACCAGATTTTCAAGCAGGAGATTATGATCTGGGAACTTGTGTGTCAAAACCTTTTCTTTTTTTTTTTTAATTTTTAAATTATTTTTTATTAGTACAAATTCGGAACAAGCTTGCTTCACATGTCAATCCCTTCTCCCTCCCCTCCCCACCAGTCCCCCACCTGTCCTCCACTCCACTCCCCAGGTAGGGTAGGGCCCTTGACGATGCTCCCCAAAGTCCTGGGCAGGGCCTAGGCCCTCCCCCATGTGTCCAGGCCAAGAGTGCAGACTTTCACGTGGGATGGGCTCTCAAAATCCCTTCTTACACCAGGGAAAAATACTAATCCACTACCAGGAGCTCCCTAAAGTGTGGAGGCCTCCTCATTGACATCCGTGTTCAGGGGTCTGGATCTGTCCTGTGGTGGCCTCCCAGACAGCAGTCGGGGGTCCATGTGCCCCCCCCACCTTGTTCAGGCCTGCTGATTCTGTCAAAACCTGTTCTTTAAATGTGTTTTATTTGCTTAGTTTTAGTGGTTTATACTTGGAAAAAATCACTAACATTGAAGTGAGATATCTAAAATAAATTTGGCACTTGTGGCTATTGAAAACTTTTGTTGCAATGACCCACCCTTAATTCTTGTCTGAACTCAAGGGATCTGAGTAGAACCACTTTATATAAGAGGCAGGAGGCCTAGAACTACCCTTATAACTCCTGTGATTGTGTCTCTGACTCTAAGCCTGAGGGTCACTTGTCATTTACCATCTTTCTTGTGTTTGGAGAAATACAGTTTAGCTCCCCTTTCTCAAACCCAGGTGAAAGAAATATGTTTAATGTCATCAATTTACATAATTAACTTTGGTATCATCTTTTAAGTATGTGACATTCAGTTCAGTGTCTACTTCCTGAGAAATGACTGAGTTTGAAACACATTAAGCTCATTAACTGTATGAATATATGTATATGTTACCCAACGAAATTGATCACCATTAGCAAAATTTCTTCATAATGAAGATAGCCCTGTCAAATTGGGGACTGCTTTATTTCTGGTTTTGTTTCAGTGAGAAAATACCTTGATAAAAGACAACTTTGAATAGACAGGGTTTATTTTACCTCACAAGTACATCATAGCAGGTGAGTCAAAAAAAAAAAAAATCAGAAAGTGAAGCAACTCTTCACATCACATTTATAGTAGAGAGAAGAGAGAAAGGAATGCATGCATGTTCTCAGCTACATTTCTCTACTCTCACAAAGCCCAGGGTCCTGAACTGCACATATTGAGGCTGGGTCTTCACATCAATTGAGACACTTCAGACAATGCCCAAGACATGCTTGGAGGAGAGACTGAACTTCACAGCCTCTCCCTGACACTCTCTGCCCAGTGTTCTAGGTTGTGTCAAGTTAACAATTGAAAATAGAAATCACTGGAATATATTACTCCTTTTTTATTGAACATGAATTTTGAGCAATTTGATTTAGATATTGAGGTAACCATGAATCTCTGTGGAAACACACTTGCTGGTCTCCATGCTGGATCCTGCACATACAAACAGCAATTTCTGCTATAGAGATATTCACTCTTCAATATTGGCCTTATATATTCTAGATGAAGCCTGAGGTCAGAACATGCAGATTGAATGTGGGTGTGTAATAGTTAGCTGTGTTAAAACTATTGCAGTGTATATTTCTGGGAAATGCCTGAGCTAAACCTTACTGGTTGCATTAGCATTTTAATTATGCTCTGTATTTGACCCTCAATAAGTAGTTATAAAGATACTGTTTCCACTTTAATTTCATATTAATTAAAATATATTTCCTTATAGGAGACCTACTGGCTGTTTTTCATGTATTAATTTTCTGCCCTCCACATATTACCTACCATTTAGTTGCTATTAATAATCTTAACATTATTTCTTTCATTCTTATATCCATGATCCTTTTAAGTATATTCTAAGAGTAAATAAAAAATTTAGATGTGTAAGTCTTGCTATAATGATGAATCACACACCTAGACTTAATTATTGGCTTTTATTCAAGACATATTTTATTATTTTTGTATCCTTATTGTTAACATTTATCTAATACACAATTACTTTTCATTTAAGTAGAATTCAGTTTGTCTAAAGCACAGCAAATAAACTTGATAACATGATTAGTAATGCCTTAAATAACAACTGCCATGCCCCCATACAAAAAGTTTACAAGTGCTCTCTCTATCGTATTCTAGTGTGCTATTAGAGCAGTAATGTAGAAGTTATCTTCGCGGAGACATCTGGTATTTTTCTTAACTATAAAAATGAAAGTTATTCTTTCATGCTTGCTTAAGTCATGTAAGGAATTAAAGTGGCACAAACTATTAACTGAGAAATACCCTTGACAGAAGTAAGTTATATTTTAAATGTATTTCTGATAATGGTACATGTATGAATTTCATAGTCAATGTGACAAGAGTCTAAATTCACAAGAAGGCAGACAAAATCTCCACCTCCATCAATGTTGTGTTTCCTTTCAGAGCCTCTCTTCACTTATATTTGTGCATAATTTAAAATTTGCCATACTATTCATTAGTATTTTTATGTCATTAAAGTTAGTGTTGTTATATATTTTGTATTTGCATAGAAAAGTTTACTAGTTTTCACTATTTTGCTTGTTTAGCTCATACCATAATTTATGTTATAAAAATTGACTGAAGATTCTTTTTGTCTTCAACTGTTATTTGTTTACTTTCTGTTTCCTTTTTTATTTGAGATTATGTCTCATTT